ATTTTAGATTATAATTATAAACTTTAGGATAAAGAATCAATAAATAAATAAGTAAAAATAAGAGATAAGATATATGTGATAAATTATAAGACAATATAAATAATGAAATAAAATAAAAAGATAAGATAAATATTCTAAAAAATAAAAGACTAATAATAAAAATAAATTAAATTTATTGCTAAATTATTTTTGAACTGTTATTGAATTGTTTATGAATTATTATTAATTTTGAGACTAATTATTCATTCATAATCTTGAAGTATTACAAAAATATTACAGAAATATTGCAAAATTATTATTGAATCATGATTAAATTCATAACTAATATATTAATTATATTATTCAAAATTATATGTTATTTAGAAATCTATTAATTGGTCATAATTTCAAGATTCAAAAATTATGAAATTAAAGAAATTTATATTACTATGATAATATTTGGTTTCTCTAAGTAAGATTAAGCTCTAGTGAAACTATTAAAATTTCTTTGATTTCTTTATTTCTTATATGTACCAAGTCATTATAAGTAATTCATTAGAAGTTATATACTTTCTCAAATTTATATTTTGATAATAGCTAATAAATTTATTTTTCAAGAAGAAAATATTTTCTAATCAAAATTACTTCTTTTGATTGAGCTATTTCTTTTTATAATTCTATTAGTTTTCTGAAATATTATCTAGATATTTCTTTGAGTAATTATCCAAAGTAATAATATCTAATGAATTATAATTTATCAGATTAATTATTATGATTTTCAAAAAGATCATTAAAAATAGTCTGAATTATTATCTTCCAGTTTTGCTCAGATTGAAATTGATAAGTCATATTTGCTGTAATTATTATTTTTAAAATTTCAGTATTAGTTATATTCACAAATTATTTTATTCTGATACTACTCTGATACTACTTTGTGAATTATTTATTGAAGTTAAAGCTTCTTTTACTATTGATTCTGATTCATGAAGTATTTCCAATATTATATTAATGTTAAGTTATCTTTTAGTAATAAGATTATATATTACTTTCTGATTATTATTATTAAGTATTAACTAATCTTTATGAATTTATAAGATTCTATTAAATTTACTATTTTTTAATTATTGATGAAGGGTCAAAATATTTTGGATAAAATGAAATTACTAAAAAGAATATTAAAGAACTTTGATTATTTTTCGAGTTAAAAATAAAAAATATTTATTAGTAAAATTAAAAACTTTTATATATAAGAAAAATTATGTATTTTACTAATTATAATTAGTAAAAAATTTAAGCATTATATTATTTTTGATGATTACTATATAAAAATAAATTATTATTAATTATAAATTTTTATTATATAAATATATATAATATTTTTATAATAAAATTATAAAATTAATTATAAAATAAATTATATATCTTTAGTAAATTATATAAATATAGATCAAAAAATTCTAGTATATAAATTTATATTAAATAATAATTAATTTTTAATAATATTAATAATTAAATTTAAAATTAATTTTTTATAATTTATTATTTAATAAAATTTTAAATTAAAAACTTAAATATTTTTAATAAAATTTATAAAATAATATTATAATTTTATAAAATAAGATTTAAAATAAATATTTTTAAATATTAATAATTTTATAAAAAAATAATTAAAATATTAAAAATTACTTATTTTATTCTAATTAAAAATATCTATATTATTTATTTTGAAATTATTAATTAAATTAACTTTTTATTTATTTATAATAATTATTTAATTTTATTATTTTATATATAGTAATTATTAAAAGTAATGTAATACTTAAATTTTTTACTAATTATAATTAGTAAAAAATTTAAGCATTATATTACTTTTGATAATTACTATATAAAAATATTGATTTTAATTTTTTTTATATAAATTTTATTAATAAAAATATAAAATATAATTTAATTTTTTATTATTATAAATAATAAAAAAATAAAAAATATAATAAATTTAATATTTATTATATAAATTTTTTTAATTATTTTATTAATAAACTTATTAATTATCTTTTATTAAAATTTATTATTTTATTATTATTTCTTATATATTTTATAAATATAATAATAATTAAATTATTTTTTTAATAAAAATTAATATTATAATTTTGATTTTATAATTTAATTAATTTATCTCTTAAAAATTTTATAATTTTATAACTTATAGCTTATATAAAGAACTATTCTAGCAGATCTATTAAAAATATTTTAGCAACTTATGATTAATAATTAATATTAATTAATCTAATTATAAGATCAAGATATAATATAAATATTCATATAAAATAAAATTTAAAATTTATTTTAATATTTTTTTAAAAAATAACTTATATCTCAAAATTTTATTTATAAATCTGCTCTTTATCTATTAAAAATTGAAATTTTAAACATTATTTATAATAATTTTTATTAGAATATAATAAGTAATTTTATAGGCAAAATTTTGTTATTTTTTAAAAAAAATATAATTTTTAAATTTTACATTATATCTTGATCTTACAATTTGATTGGTTAATCGGGAAAGCTAGTCTATTATGTGTTCCATGTCCAATAGGAGTCGCAAATTTTTGATCAACCCGGCAAAAAAAAATCCGACACAAGATATGAAAAAATGAATGCGATCTTATTGGACTTTATTATTCCTGGTTTCTTTACTTCTCTTCCCTGATTTCTTTATTCTATTTCGCTTTCCTTGCTGAGAAATTATACCCCTGTTACAATAAAAAAATCATTGTCATTTCAATCTGGATTACTCGAAAGCCAATGCCTAAATCTGTCTTGGAATACTAATTAAAAATATCGGGGTAAAAACCCATATTAGGATAATCGAAACTTGGGGTAACGATAAATAGGGTATATAATTTTGGGAGGGTATTAAATATCCATTAACCCATAAGTTGTTCATAATAATAACATAAAATTGGATCTTATGGTAAAGACTATCTCTTCTAATTTTTACTTATAATAAATTTTTTGCTCTAACACTTCATAAAATTCAAAGGATATACTCGAAAGACCAAACCTATGTATTCCAGAAATTACAGAAGAGGGCAAACAAAAGATAGCGAAATTATTAAAAGCATTCTACGACGAGACATATATCACAGGAAACGACTACCAAACAAAAGAATACATATTGGAATGGTGTCGCACGAATAACCTACCTGTCACAACATTACTTGAATACCTACAAAGCAGCATCTACCACGGCGAATGGTCCTGTTTACGCGCTTTCTGCTACAATTACGAGATCGGCACACCCAAGAATGAGAGACTAGCATTACGATGGTACAAAATTGCCGCGGCAAACAAGGACTCTTTCGCTGCGAATCAGATCGGCTGGTTTTATCAAAATGGATTGTCGACTCGGAAAAATAACGAAAAGGCGATAAAGTATTTTGAGAAATCGGCAAGAGAAGGGCATCCACACGGATGTTCGAATCTGGGACATGCGTATCGTTGGGTAAACATGCGTGCTGCATTCTATTGGTATCTTCGTGCGGCCGAAACTGGGTACCCGAGTGCGTATAAGTATGTGGGATGTTGTTATCAAGATGGTGCTGGGTGTGTTAAAGATCCACACGAATTTTTAAGGTGGAGTGTGAGATATGAGGAACGGCGTAAAGAGATCGAAAATATCAAAAAGAAAGCTAAGAAAGATGAAGTTGTTAAAAATTTGGTCTTATTCCAAATTAATATGTTTGAAACATAAGTGAATTTTCATTCATCTACAAGAAATTGTATGATGTCTTTTTTTTCCTTTCACTTTCAATATTATCGTTATCATTATTAGCATCGTTTTTAAGAAAATACCACAATTTAACATCTATTATAAAAATTATTAGGAAATTATCACATTTTTCGTTTTCACGTGTTAACATGTATGTTTGCCGTTTCAATTTTTTCTGGGATTTTGGTCATATTTATTTGTCTACTTTGGATCTTATGATTCAGTCACTCATTTTTGTAATTCTTTGATAAAGTATAATTAAAATGCAGCCATACCTCTACACAGTTACGTATTATCATTGTGAAGCATGGGGAATTTGATCTCTATCCCGAGGGTGTGATTATATGAAGGTATGATTGAACGTATTTATAAATCTCAGCAGATGAATCATAAAATACTGCTAAATTAATGTCAAAGAATTTCAGAGATGCTTGAGTTTTTTCTTCCACGAACACTGTTTACGATTTAATATCGTTTCGAAGCCAAGGGATCACTTTTGAAATATGAAATGAAATTATTAGTTGATATAAACGAAAGCATAGACTTAATCAATAGATAAACACCCACTGATAATGCAAGCTATACTCCATGAGAAAAACACGCCAAAAAAAATTCTGGTTGGAAGTGGATTTCTAATGCAACATGATTGCGTTGCTGGTGAAATTGGGCCGTGTTCGTGATCATGCAGCGTTTCTGTAGTCTGGATATATTGTGTATGTTTTTTTTTAGTTAGAAAATAATCATTATTGCTTTTTGTGTAAGTAAAAATAATCTATGTTACATACATTTATTGGCATCGCCACCAACGTTTCTTGTGATGCTCGAAAATGAATCATTTCTGGCGCTTGTATTGTTGGCGCTGGATAACGATCATTATTCTCAAGTGTCGTAGTGACATCTCTTGTTTCAACAGAATCATCATCATTATTGCTAGTATCGACAGCAGCAGCAGCACTATTGTCCTTTTCTTGATTTATTACTTTTGTATCGCATACTTCGTTTCTTGATGGCTCTGTCATATTTGAAGAGGTCGTCGCTATTGTCGCTGCGGTTGAGCCTATACAAGGATCATCATCGTCGTTCATTTCTATCCTGATATCGATTTTTTCATGGGTATTTTCCTCCTGACTCTCGTTTTTATTTGAATTAACCATTATTATTTTGATCTTAATTCAAAGTGACGAAATGCGTTTCTTAAAAGCAGAGAAACATTTCTTTGAGACAAATTAGGACTTTTCTCTTTTTGACGAGTCATATCAAAACAAGAAAGAACGAGATTTAGTTTTAATTGACCAAAAATGTAATACGTGTAATATAACGATAAAAATGGACACGTGGGAAAATTCTATCGATATTAATGTTAATTGGTCTAGCTTTCTTTGTAAGATTTGAGAGACGTGAGGCAAATTCATATGTGATGAAATCAGAAAAAACCTTCCGAGCACAAGACTTTATTATTAAATGAAAGTAGGTTTCAATTAATGCATGAAAAACTCATTCGTTAGACCGATGCCTTTTATTCTTTAGACCGATGCCTTTTCAATGCTTTTTTTACAATTGAAATTTTATCTTATATAATACAAATAAATACTCTTCTTATACATTAAAGATAAGAAATTTATAAATACAAGAACCTTTTCCGTGGTGGGTAATATTAACGAAAAACGACACCAGATACAATTGCAATTGCTAAAAAAAAAAAATAACAAAGAATACTATTAGTTCTTTGTCAGGATAGAGAATAACGAAGAATTAAGATATTTACCAATGCCAAGTATCAATAGAATGAAGACAACACAGAGCCAAAATTTCTGGGTTGGTTTTCCTTGGTAACATAGTGGTTGTTGACACATTAGACTACAACTTCTATCATTTTGATGTTCATCACGCGAATGTAGATTTGAAGATTTTGATGACTTTCTTTCGATTTGTCGTTCTGGCCATGGCTGCATATCGGTCACCTGAGGTTTGTTCTCATTTCCTGTAGAATTCTCTACATAGCGGACTTGTTCAGGTTTTTGATATGGAGTTGAAGGTGGAGACTGAGACGGTGTATTATTATTATTATTATCATTATTATTATTACTATTTTCAGGAGTTATGCCCTTCAAGGGTTGTGATGCTGCAACGCTGTTTAAATGTTGAATAGTTAAACTATTTGAACGTTGCTGAGCGAGAACATATGATTGTGCGTAATATAATTCAGGATTATATGGGTTTGGCATAAAATGAACTGGTGACACAGGAGAAACATAATAAGGTTGATGTCCAGTCCCTTCTGTTGTAGAGTTATTATTTTTTGGAAGATCGAATGGTTCCGCCGTTGGAGTTTGTGGTAAAGATGGAGGATGAGATGGAGGATGAAAAGGATCTGTGTGAATGCTATGCAGTGATTCGTGCGTCCGAATAGCAGCATAATTATTAAAAACGGGATTTGGATTTGGCTGTCCATTCAGTACTGGGAATGGGATGGGAGTGGTCGTCGCTGAGGGATTGAATCCCAAAGGTGGAGTTGGAGGATTATAAAATGATGGTATTGGTGGTGGTGGAACCATCGGAAAAACCTGTGGATGAAGATGAGGGTTATTATAAAATGTATTATTTGGAGGATAATTTTGTGATGAAGGATAAAGAGGTTGTTGTTTTATTGTTTGTTGTTGCTGTTGTATTTGATTTTGTTGATATTGATTTTGTTGATTTTGGTTTTGTTGTTGATGTTGTTGATGTTGTTGTTGTTGTTGATGTTGTAAACGTGTATTGTTTATTTGTGGACGTGATTGTTTATTGTTTAATTGTTGCCTTTGTAAACGTAATGGTTTGTCGGGTAACTGTTGTTGAACTTGTATAGCATTTGCATCATTGTCTATTGATTTGTGTCTGACATTTACTACGTTAGCTTTTTCTTTTACTCTCTCTGTTTCTTTCCCTTTTGACTCTTGTTCTATCCGAACTGTTGTTTCTTTAATAGGTATTGACACTTGATCCATGTTATTTATTGAAGAATTTTCGTCTTTCGTAGAAAGTGTTTCTTTTGATATTGCTTCTGTTGAGAAAATCGAACTCATAATTCTCACTATTAATACATGTATTTCTTATCACTATTATTATAATAATGGCAGCAAAAATCCTGTATTTTACTCTCTTTAAACTCGAGAAAAAATAGTGATGTTAACCGCTTTCGTTCATGTGCGTACGTATTTATAATTTGTTTGTTGATTTTACCACAGTTGTTCATTCAATAACGCATACACATGCACCTCTGTGCATTTTGTTCACTCATATTGGTCAAGTAGCCGTTATGTTGTTCGAAATGCTCGAGAACTGCAACTCCTATTTGCCATTGATACTTCCATTTATGGCTTAGAGTATTTTGAATGTTCCTTGGCGTAATGTGAGAAAAGCTTCTCGAAAAAGAAATATTCCGCTAGAGACCATTCTTACTTTCTATGTCTCATATAACCCACCCTTCATTTTTCTAGTTTTAACATCTCAAGTCCGAACACTAACGCTAAAAAATATTTTTCGGTATTTCCGAACCAACCAAATAAAACAAAAAACTGTTGGTATCACAACTTGAGAAGTATCACAGCTTACGTCAAAATCCCGTGAGCTATGCTTATTATTGATATAAAATAAGATCATGTATGCGGCACAATATGTTGCGTCCTTCTTATTGGCATTATTACTTTTCTTTTCAGAATTTTTCGTTCGATTTGTCTTTGGTCTATATATTGAAAGATAAATGTCTGCATCAAAGTCATCAATATCACAATGCTATTTATAATGGAATTTATTATTTTAAAGTGTTTCAACCTTGTAAAGTGTTTTGATGTTCCAACCTTGTAGTGCTTTTGCGCAAATTACGCAAAATTTTTGAGAACGCATGAATTCTTTAATTAATATAATTTAGCGAAAATCAGCTTTGCAACCGGTCCATACCGATACTAGGTTGTACCTGTTTCTGTGCACATGTTCACAGAAAAATAATTCAGCATGTGATTTTTAACAAAGAAAATTGCATTTAATTTAATTGGCTGGCTACACCCATTAATGTAAATTCGCATAAATTAAATTGATCGATCAAGGAAATTTTAAAGCATCAAACCAAAATGATAAATCTTAAATGATGCATCATCAGAACCTCTGTATTTGCATTCTAAAAATTCATATAAATCAAAGAGAATGGTAGTAAGAATATAACAATTTCTTTTACATACGCGCAATCAAAATGAGATTCTCCATTTATAAAATTGTCTTCTGCCTCTTTATGTTGTCCTCTTTCGTTCTTCTCGGACTTGCCTCCCCACTCCCAAAATTTGAAGAAATAATCACAATTGAAGAAAATTTCCCGGAGGATGATAGCGAAATCAAGGAAGTCACTGTAACAATTGTTGGTCAGGAAGGGGATGATTTTCCTATCCCTTCCTTATACGATTTATCATCTCCTCTTTCCGAATTTGAAGATATCATCCATTCAAGACCAGGTCATCCTCTATCATCAATTATTGACAAGATGGAGCAAGCACTAACAGGAATGCCGGGACCGTTTCTTGGTCCATTTACAGGATCCAAGAGCAAATCTCCTCTGTCTTACGATCCATTCCACATGATTCATGGAAAAGGCGATAATTATGAGAAACTTTTTGATGATTTTAACGATGTTTTTGAACCGTTAGCATCTGAGGAAGCAATGTTGTCGTTTATTGATGATGTGATGGATTCATTTGACAATGAATATGATGAGCAGGACTCGAACATTGAACATGATGTTGATACACAAAACAATTCAACCTCGTCTGTATTCGAAGATATTGAATCTCTTATCGAAAAGCCACAAAAACAATTGATCGATGATCTCGAGAAATTGGTAATGGGTGAAGTTGATGTTGATGAAGCTATCATCATTTCCGGACCAACCAAACCCACCAATCATGATAATGAGCATCAAACTGCAAGTCTGACGACCAAAATCTTAAAGGATGTTTTCTATCTGTTGATGATTTGTGCGATTCTTTTTTCGTCTGCTTTGAGCGCTTTTGTGTGGATTAAATACTTAAGCAAGAAGCCGCATTATTCACAAGTTCCTAATACAGAAGATGAGGAAACGGAAAATCTAATTAATGGATAGATGCCTGTTAGATTTGGCTTGTTTGCTTTTCGAATAACGGATCCCGGAGAATTGAACTAATGCATTTTCTTTTGCAAAAACATGAAAGTAGAATATAAATGTTGCGTTCCTTGATAACGTATGCTTTTTCTAATTTAATTTTATTCCTACTACTATATGTAGGTATATACGTATGTAGTTAGTCTATCTATAAATATATTTGTTTGTGTAATAATGAGTGTCAGCCTTTAGCATCAATGAGAACCCTATTATTCTGTTTTTTCCATATCGATGTTTTGTAAATGAGAGCCAATAAAGAAAGAGAACAATGTACATGTATACAAAAATATATAATTTATAAAAAGAATTCTATCGTAACTTAGCATAAAGTTATATAAGACCAGAGCTTTTATAGCATTCAAATGAACACAATTTATTAAATCAAGAAGATACGTTCAACAAAATAATCAAATAAGTGAGATATTTTTAAATTTGATACTACTTACGATCCACAAAAAACGTTAAAGATATGTCGCATGCTGCTATTAAAATCCCAGAACCAGCATTTACTAAAGATAAAACAGGATCACGCGATTCAATGGAAGAATGTGTCTTGAAAATCTACGATTTTCAAAATTCCGTTCAAACTGAACAAACACCACCACCACCGATAATAACTAATCGTCAAAATAAAATATCTTTATTTTGTGATGAATCACAGTATGATAAAGGTTTATGGTTTTCATTATTGTTCGCGGCAATCGCCTTGGCCAGTTTTTTGGCATTTGTGATTGTGTTGGGACAGTTATCGAAACAGTTAATTGGATTTCATTTTTCTCTACTTTTTTTAACATATTGCAATATTATTCTTAATAAATGCACTTTTCTTCGCTCAGCCGACTGCACCATCCCACAAAATCTTGATTCTTTATACGACGACTTGATGGATTTTCGAACATTTAAACAAAGGATTTTTATTTGGTGGATATAAATATGAATAATTATCCCAAAGTAATATTACCGTTACCAATTGAGATAACCTATTTTTAAGTTGGGAGATTACAATTTATTAAATTAATTTCTAAAAGGGGGGTAGTTTGTACGTTTAATATAATATATTTAACCCATCAATACTGGTTATTTTAATGGAATAATGTGATTAGTGACATTCTTAATTAACTATTCTAATATGTATATACTCGGCACAATAATATAGGCAGTAATTTATAGTCTAATTTTTATTAACAATAAATTTTATTTGCGATGGCAAGCAAAAACGCACATATTAATAAACATAGTAAAAGATAGCGCTTTCTCTCTATATTAAAAGTTCATCAATCTACTAATAAATATTTTTTTTTATGTCACATATCTAAAATAAAAACAATAATCTATAGTTTAACATAAGTTGTTCAGATTTTTTCTGAAAGAATTCTTTTAATTGCATATAAAACTTTTATTATGTTTGAATTAATGAAAACTTTTATCTTTATCTATGCCATTAGAAAACTCTAGAAAATTCTGAAAAAAATATATGTTAAGCTATTTTGATAGAGAAATTTCTATACTTTATGTTTTTAATAAATTTTAACACATATACATTTTTTTTTGTATTATATAATATTTTTATAAAATAATTTATTAAACTTAGTATATAAATTTAGCTATTAAAGTATATATATATATAGTTGCACCTCTTTATAAGGATATATGGTCTGGTGCAAAAAGATTAATACATCAAGTAAAATATTAATAGATTATATTTTCAAAATAAAATTTTAATTCTGTCTTATTTAATTAAGTTATTAGATATTAGGATTTATTTGAATATAAAAATTTTTATTATATATCTTTTATAAAAAAAATTTTACTAATATAAACTTTTTTG